GCAATTCTTGAACAGCACTGTTACTGTTAACAATTTCTTTGGCAGCCATAACTGAGAGTGCAGTGCAGATACAGTGACAACCGGGACACGTTAGGACGGTTCTCAATTCAGGGTGGGGAGGTATAATAAATTAAAGATTCACACATTCAAAATAAGTGAAAGAGTGATATCTAATAAATTTTGTTGAGAAAATAATAATTGTTCATTTTTTTGGTAACTTTTTCTGAAACCTACGAACAGATAATATTATTATTATTGAAACAACCGACAATAAAAGTGACATATAACATAATAAAATGTGTTTGAAGACATTTTATCCATGACAACATGATGTTTACTAACCTTTTTCTGATCGATATCCATTGCCATCTCCGTCAACCACCACCGTTAGAATTTGGCAGGAGGGGATTTGAAAGTGCATCGGAAAACACTCCCTTCGAAAGTCCACGAAAACAATCTCCCAACTGAACTGACAGCTTATCAAACTTGAAGAAATTCATTTCAGAACACGCACAATTATGAAAATCATACACGACCTACTATTTCTGGACCAGAAATGTCTAAGTTCCGTCACTATTTGGCTTTGGATCCGTGAAATCTTGAAATTGACAGGTCACACCATGCAGATTCCTCGTTTCAAAATATCCGGCTCGTCTGCAGCCTAAACAGCTGCTGTTCAGTCATTCTCGTGAGTGAGTGAGTGAGTTAAAGTTTAACATCGGCAATAATTCAGCCATATCGTGAGGAAACAAAATTTGATATGAACAATATATATTAAACTGTATCAAATTCTGCCGACAAAGAGCAGTATAATGACTAGAACATCACAGACTTTCGTAAAACTAGTTTGAGAATAAGTAAAAATAGATAACTAACTAATATAATCATTTAACAACACATTATAGAAACAGGCTATAGATCGCCACCAACTGAAGGTTGATCACCGCGCTGGGGACCCTGGGGACTTTCAGTACTTTTGCTACCTGTATGGACCCCAGTCGGATTTACATCATCCCTTCAGTTGTTTGCGATGGCTGACAAATTTAGCCAAACATTAAAATAACACATATACTACTATTAAAAACGTGGAAGAAATAAATATACTTTGCAAGACGTGGTCTTACTCAGTCATACTCAGTTCCATTAGTAATCACATGGATGTGCCTGCAGGCTCGATCAATCCCAGTTAATCTACAGGTAAATGTTGATCCACATCATAGATCGGGGTTGTCATCTTGCTTCTTTTAACTAGATCTAGTTAATGTAAACACATGATTGTCAGCCATTGACAGCTGTGAGGTGTGAGTAACCGTGATGTAGGTCAAGTTCTGCCACATCCAAGTTCGGGGTGGAGAGGCATTTACTTTGATTTTATTATTGTTCACTGGGGGTAACTGCTATCTAACTAATAATTCTTAGACATGTTGAATGTATATTAGAATGTTAATTCATAAAGTTTGCTGTAGAAATATATTCGTTTAGCATTTTAAAACCTTTTTCTATTGACCGTCACCCCTACAATAGAAATGATGGCATGTTCGATTTCCAAGAAATGACCTCTCGCACAAATTTCACAGAAACGACGGCCAGTCGACAGTGTTCAACAGTGTGCAACAGTTTGATAGAAATTAAAACATCTCTATCTTTGGATTAAGTTAGGAGTTATATTTGTCAACTTCTTTTGAAAAACTAGATCTATGTGTTTTGAACACTTATTATGAACTACTCACGACTATGGTGTTTTTTAATCTTCAACTTTTGTAATAATTGCTACATATATAACTACCTGTGACTTTTCAGAATATTCTCTGATTGCGGATTGTGTTATCACGCGTTGCAAAAGAACGCCGTTTTCAAAGCGTTGTTGCCGTCATGGTAGAATGGAGATAAACCTACTGTGTTTTGAAATTTGATATAGTCCCACTGTAGAATAGATACCTCTTTATTATAATTTGGAACCTCACGCTAAAGCGCTCGATTCAAAATTATAATATCGAGGTATCTATTCTACAGTGGGACCACATCAAATTTAAAACACAGTAGGTTTATCTCCGCCGTCATATAGCTAGAATATTGCTAAGTGCGGCGTTAAACAACAAACCAACAACCAACCTAATTAAAGACAAGAGTTTTCGTTTTCTTTTAAGTTGCTGTAAAGCTTCCCAACCAGTTTTGAAATATAGTGAGGCTCGGCATGCATGTGTATTTTGGTAGCCCAGTAATTAATGTTTCTAGCTGCTTCCAACTGCAGTCTTTCTAGTCAATCACTCTGATCTATTGTACACCCTAAAACTCACATGCGTATACAAATTGGGGCCAAATCAAAATCTTATAAATTGCATTGAGAGTGTCTCGGTTTACTATAAAGTAAAGTAATCTTTATGAGTATATGATTTTTGAGTTTGTTGTAACAATCGTGTCTGCATGACAAGACCACTTGCTTGGTGATTCGAACGTAACGCCTACATGTCACCTGTATTAGTTTCTCTCACATCAAACTATAGTTTTATCATAATGTGTATCTTCTTTTAGTGAGAATAAAAACAAACTTTAGTTCCTGTTCAGATTATTTTGGAATCATTGCATTACATCTCGTAGACATAAAATAATGTGTCTTCAGGCATCATCATCATCATCATCATCATCATCGTTGACGTGGCCGTCATCATCATCATAAAAAACATCATAGTCTTACGTTGTTATGTTAATAATGATTATTGTAAATCGTGTTCTACCACATTAATGGAGGAGGCGTGGCTGGGTGGATATTTAATAACTGGGGGCTTATTCGTTTGTCTAGCAGTTGTACTGTTGACCATCAGACACAGTAAGTCGAGCGCCAAACTCTGTCGTGCTCCTGACAAGACACGTCACAGTGACGTCATATATATAGCGCGCACCTTACCGGCCGTAGTGTCGCCAGTCAAGGCGTTTCATGGCTGGGAGTGAGATGTGTCGCTTGTGTTAGGACGTAATTGTTGGGTAAGTGTTTTTACCACCGTATTTTGTACTTTTAGAATCTTTAGGAACATAGATAGGGTTGTAAACAAAGCATGATTGATGGACAACGATATGCTTATTGTAGGTATCAGACAGCAGGTGCTTGCTTCACACTGAACTGTGACTGATCTATTTCTACAAGCCAAACTCTTCATTAGCTGAACTGACACTGGGGCCACGCACATGTACAGATTTCCACAAGCCACACACAACCTATTAGTTTTCAGGCATGTTTAATCTAGATCTAGTAATAATTGTTTTCGAAATTTTCATTCAACTGATTTGTTTACAACTAAGACCTAATGTTTTGTTGATTCTGTTTACGTGAATCAAAGAGTTATTGAAATACATATATAGATACTGTACACAGATGTATTTGTACATGTCGCTACACACTGCAGTTTTTTTTGTGTTATTCAGGGTAGAAATACATTCACAAGTTTATGTCTGCACACACACGTTTATGGATAATCTGTCCCGACATGTGTGTTATTAAATTCAATTGTAAGTAGGCCTAGAGCGCTCCATGTTTACTAGATCCACCAGTCAATAGGCCAACGTCGTCTATTCACGGAAGCCCACACAGTAGGGTCCAATGTTCTATTTTATGTTCGTACAGGAAATATAACAGTTACTGTATTATTGTACCAGAAGTAGACATGTTTGGCAAGGAGAACCGGCACTGCTGGTCATGTTAGCCTGTCTATCCAGATTATATTCGTATCTCACTATGTCCAAGTTTTGATATCGTTATCTGCCTAGATGTATGATTCCTCGGACAAGACAAGACAGTAATCAATGGAATTCATGGTTTGAGAAACTGTTGACACTAAACCAGGCCAGCCGTGGCCATTTCCTTCTGTTTGGGATTTCCCATCGCTCACTTCATTAAACTTTACCCATACATTCAGTCGTGTACAGTAGGCGACATTTAGAAGCTTTGATGTAAGGCTTAGATTATTTGTATATGCACGTGTTACAACGAATATGACGCACGGCCACTATGGTAGGCCGTGTAGCCTAGACGTGTATGAATTCCGTAATAATACAAGTTACGATATTTGACTGACGAGGAAATAACAGCTTGTAGGCCTAAATGTATAGTATATCTTGTCTAGGTATTATATCCAGTGATGTTTTGAGATTTTCATTTTCCAAACTTGAATTCTTGAATGTCCCTGTCGAGGTTTAAACTTTAACTCAATGAAGAAAACACTGACCCATATATGATGAAAGCATATTGTCTACCAGGTCTGAATATCAACTAACATGGCAATAAATCATGACAATTCTATATAAACAATTGTGATTAATATTGAAATCAAATGCGTAAGTAAATCGTATTATAGTGAGACTTCACATAAAACATACTAGATGTGGCCCCGAGCAATATCACGGCATGTGATTATAGCATGCTTCCACGTTGATGTCCACATTCTATTGTACAAAAATTGCTTTGATATTCACTTTGGCTCTAGTCACGTTGAGCTTCATCCACCTACTTTCCAAATAGTCACGCTGTCGCCAACTAGGTCCAGTGCCTAGTAGCCAATCACACAAGCCGAGAGTTGTCCGGTAACATGCGTGTGTGCCATTCCCACAGGTACTAATACGACATTAATGTGTCAAGGGCGTTAACTCCAGACGACCGAGCAGTAATAGATTTTACAAGGATACTGCAATTTCAGTTAGTATTAATTTCCAATTAAAATCCTAAAATGTTTTTTATCTCCACTTAATTATTCGTACTTGGGGAAAGGTGTGATCTAGTTTGGCTGAACTTTATATTGAAAAACAACAATTAAACTTACCCTAACTGATTATTATAACCTTCCGTTGTCAGCAGATATAATTATAAGATTGCTGCAGTGGGATATAGGTTACTTGAAAGGCTATTGTAAACATCACTCCAAGATCTATGCGTGCAAATAAACGCCAGGTAAATTAATCAACATATTACTGTTAACATGTTTAAGTGGATGTTTGTTTGGGTTTTTCAGCCCCTGGCACAGATACAGGGAGGGAGCCAGGGAGCCGAGACACCCCCCAGGGATCAGACCAGCCTGGTGGAGGTAGCTACAACATGCATGTGTCTTGTAACAAAACAAAGATATAATTATTGATATGATGTAATGTTAGGCCACAGGGATCAGACAAGCCCGGTGGAGGTACCGTACAACATGCATGTGTCTTGTAACAAAACATATGACGTTATAGTGGGGGAATTTGTTTGATACAAATGGCATGGGGACATTTTCCTGATATTACCCACTTTTGATAGGACTTCCTTCTGAATACATAAGTGTCAATGATTCTGCGACACCAGCAGTGTAGCAGCTTGGGACATACAGAAAGAATAGGATATCTCTTGACCACCGAATAACATCATAGACAATAATAACACTCATTGCTCCAACATATGTTTATGCTTCTAGTAACATAGGTGGTGCTTTCATCACTACATGTACTTGTTTTTGTTTCCATGTCAAGTCATGTACGTCTCTGCTGATGACCACACAGTGCTGTAGTATCTACATGACATATTCTCTGTTCCAGCCTCCAGTCACCCGAGCGAGATGGAAGCACTGAGACCTGGGGCGACACAGGAGTCTGAGCTACCCGGTAGGTGGGAGAATTCTATGGGCCAGTGGTGATAGAGTCAGTGTGTACATAGGATATTGTGCCAAGTCATCAGACGTGTCGGAGAGCTCTGTCCTTATATGAAAATATCCCTTCGTTTAAAACATATTCTTTTCAATGAGCAAGTTGATATACATTTTTCTTTAAATACATCTTAAAGATACAATAATGCTTTATTTAATTACAACACCACTGACTAGTTGTATGTATTTTTGTAAACAGGAATGTGCCCTGTTTCAGTCTATTCTAACAACCCTGTTTGTCTCCACAGCCACCAGCAGGGAGGAGGAAACACGGAAGTCTGGGACCCTCCTCGGACCTGATACACGAGGTGGGAGGAGACAATGTCACATGTATTGTAGTGGGCAAACCACCCTCCAGACATACACACAACTGTGTTAGAACTGTAAGACCTGATACACGAGGTGGGTGGAGACAATGTCACATGTATTGTAGTGGGAACACCACCCTCCAGACATACACACAACTGTGTTAGAACTGTAAGACCTGATACACGAGGTGGGTGGAGACAATGTCACATGTATTGTAGTGGGCAAACCACCCTCCAGACATACACACAACTGTGTTAGAACTGTAAGACCTGATACACGAGGTGGGTGGAGACAATGTCACATGTATTGTAGTGGGCAAACCACCCTCCAGACATACACACAACTGTGTTAGAACTGTAAGACCTGATACACGAGGTGGGTGGAGACTGTGTCACATGTATGGTAGTGGGCAAACCACCCTCCAGACATACACACAACTGTGTTAGAACTGTAAGACCTGATACATGAGGTGGGTGGAGACAATGTCACATGTATTGTAGTGGGCAAACCACCCTCCAGACATACACACAACTGTGTTAGAACTGTAAGACCTGATACACGAGGTGGGTGGAGACAATGTCACATGTATTGTAGTGGGCAAACCACCCTCCAGACATACACACAACTGTGTTAGAACTGTAAGACCTGATACACGAGGTGGGTGGAGACAATGTCACATGTATTGTAGTGGGCAAACCACCCTCCAGACATACACACAACTGTGTTAGAACTGTAAGACCTGATACACGAGGTGGGTGGAGACAATGTCACATGTATTGTAGTGGGCAAACCACCCTCCAGACATACACACAACTGTGTTAGAACTGTAAGACCTGATACACGAGGTGGGTAGAGACAATGTCACATGTATTGTAGTGGGAACACCACCCTCCAGACATACACACAACTGTGTTAGAACTGTAAGACCTGATACACGAGGTGGGTGGAGACAATGTCACATGTATTGTAGTGGGCAAACCACCCTCCAGACATACACACAACTGTGTTAGAACTGTAAGACCTGATACACGAGGTGGGTGGAGACAATGTCACATGTATTGTAGTGGGAACACCACCCTCCAGACATACACACAACTGTGTTAGAACTGTAAGACCTGATACACGAGGTGGGTGGAGACAGTGTCACCTGTATTGTAGTGGGCAAACCACCCTCCAGACATACACACAACTGTGTTAGAACTGCAGGACCTGATACACGAGGTGGGTGGAGACAATGTCACATGTATTGTAGTGGACAAACCACCTTCCAGACATACACACAACTGTGTTAGAACTGTAAGACCTGATACACAAGGTGGGTGGAGACAATGTCACATGTATTGTAGTGGGCAAACCACCCTCCAGACATACACACAACTGTGTTAGAACTGCAGGACCTGATACACGAGGTGGGTGGAGACAATGTCACATGTATTGTAGTGGGCAAACCACCCTCCAGACATACACACCACTGTGTTAGAACTGTAAGACCTGATACACGAGGTGGGTGGAGACAATGTCACATGTATTGTAGTGGGAACACCACCCTCCAGACATACACACAACTGTGTTAGAACTGAAAGACTTGACACACGAGGTGGGTGGAGACAATGTCACATGTATTGTAGTGGGCAAACCACCCTCCAGACATACACACAACTGTGTTAGAACTGTAAGACCTGATACACGAGGTGGGCGGGGACAATGTCACATGTATTGTAGTGGGAACACCACCCTCCAGACATACACACAACTGTGTTAGAACTGTAAGACCTGATACACGAGGTGGGTGGAGACAATGTCACATGTATTGTAGTGGGAACACCACCCTCCAGACATACACACAACTGTGTTAGAACTGTAAGACCTGATACACGAGGTGGGTGGAGACAATGTCACATGTATTGTAGTGGGAACACCACCCTCCAGACATACACACAACTGTGTTAGAACTGTAAGACCTGATACACGAGGTGGGTGGAGACTGTGTCACATGTATGGTAGTGGGCAAACCACCCTCCAGACATACACACAACTGTGTTAGAACTGTAAGACCTGATACATGAGGTGGGTGGAGACAATGTCACATGTATTGTAGTGGGCAAACCACCCTCCAGACATACACACAACTGTGTTAGAACTGTAACACCTGATACACGAGGTGGGTGGAGACAATGTCACCTGTATTGTAGTGGGCAAACCACCCTCCAGACATACACACAACTGTGTTAGAACTGTAACACCTGATACACGAGGTGGGTGGAGACAATGTCACATGTATTGTAGTGGACAAACCACCTTCCAGACATACACACAACTGTGTTAGAACTGTAAGATCTGATACACGAGGTGGGTGGAGACAATGTCACATGTATTGTAGTGGGCAAACCACCCTCCAGACATACACATAACTGTGTTAGAACTATAAGACCTGATCCACGAGGTGTGTCTGACACATTGTAGTAGGCAAACCACCCTCCAGAACTGTGAGATGTTACAGAAACATTCTAACCATGTAAATACCTAAAGCATACAAACACAAACCAGCTGTTGCCATTCCCTCTACAGTCGCCATGTTGTTGACAGCCATGTTGCATGTCTAGATAATACATCCAGTGTTTCATATCCTCACTGTAAGATGTGAACACTGTAGCTGTGAGATAAAGATGTCGGACATGTGTACAGAGTTTACTTTGTGTTACAGCGACACCGACTCCCGCACGTAGAGACCACGAGGCAGACCGCGACCTCCGTGATGCCAGCAGGAAGGGGAACATGGCGGCCGTGAAGCTGATCCTGGGAGCAGGTCGGGCTGACGTCAACTGTAGAGGCGGGGGCGGGAGGACACCGGTGATGGCGGCAGCACTGGGGGGACACAGAGACGTGGTGGAGCTCCTGGTGAATGAAGGGGCTGATGTGTCCCTGGTGGACAAGGACGGTAACAACATCCTTCACCAGGCCTGTAGGGGAGGAGACGTGGAGACGGTCAAGTTTGTGCTGTCTCTGCACGTGGTGGACATCAACAGTAGAGGATGGAGGAGCAGGACACCGGTGGTGAGCGCAGCACTGAGGAGACACAGAGACGTGGTGGAGTTCCTGGTGAGTGAAGGGGCTGATGTGTCACTGGTGGACGAGTACGGTGACAACATCCTTCACCTCGCCTGTATGAGAGGAAACTTGGAGACGGTGAAGTTTGCGCTGTCTCTGAACGTGGTGGACATCGACGCCAGGAACAACGACGGTCAGAAAGCGGCCGACGTGGCGAGACTCTTGGGACATAAGAAAGTTGTGAAACTTTTGGAGCCGCCACGCTGTCACGTGATATAAATAGGAGAAAATGTTGGATCGTGGCGGTCACCTGAAGTGAGTGTTGTGTTTGTGTAGACGGTGAAGGAGGGCATGTTGTTACACACAGTGACGTGGTGTGCCGTGCACGTCGTCGTGCTTTATATTTCAGGATTAGGTGAGAATGTGTGTTGTGTTTGATGATAAATAAAACTTGTTGAAAACATTTTCAGACATTTTGTCATTTGTTGTGTTTGGAACTTCGCATGATCAGGTAAGAAAATTGTTAACTAAGTGTAAATAGAGATGCTGTGTGATTTATATGTAAACTCCCGATCTCGTGATATTATTCTGTGTTAATTGTGAGTAATTAGTTTGTAATTAATCGTGAAACAAACACAACAAACTGTTTGTTTACATCTCGCTGCACTCTGTGACCTCAGACTGAGCTGAGGTTCGCCCAGCTGACATGGCGCCAAAAGTACAATGACAGTGACGTCACACTGTCGATGACGTCACGGCCTTGCGGCACTGCCTTCGCCTCACCTCGCCCGTTTCTAATATCTCACTCCGGCGCAGTGGTGACTCAGCATAACACTATGCTGGTCGCATGGAACTCTGGGTAGGAGAGTGTTCTAATATATGTTAGAATGGGCGATCTTTTTACAACTTAATATGGTTAACTAGCACATTTTTTTGCAGTGATTATTAGTTTATAATATCAACATTTGTTGAGTCTTCTACTAAAAGACGAATTGTCACGATGGAAGAAAGCGGGGAAAAAGTCATGAAAAACAGTATTTTGCCTAGGTATTTTCTACGTCAGAAAACAGCGAGGCATTCTGTCAGTCTGGGCTAACATATTGCATCGATGAAATAATGCAGACTCATTTTATTTATCAGGCTTTGTGTTATTTCCCATTACAATTCCAATTCAACTCTCAACAAATACTACCATGGACTTCAATGTAATATAATTGGAGATTCGCCTAAATGTGCAGCACACAGACACCTTTGCAAGGCCTTTACCACTGATATATATAGTTATTATACATCCGTGCCTTTACAAATAGTTTAAGAAGAAATAACGTTCAAAATAATAAAACAACTGATTTTAAATCATGTTACGTTTTATATCAAAATTAAAGTTGCATCTGAATATCTAAATTTATATTCTGACATTACTTTTTAGAAATATGCCAAATGAAAATCTGCCATGCATCTATCAAGCAATCAGTTACTCAGTGACAATTATTAGTCATACTTTGAAATAAGAGATTTACCCAGGTTACTCTGCCCCTTATAACATGTGTCCCACATTTAAGTGATTTGAGTCATCACAGGTGTTAATTCATTTATCCATCATTTCTTACAGAATTCTGATTATCATGCTCTTAAAATAGTAGTAAATTACAGAGATTTGTCCCAACAAACATTAAATCATTCTGACTACCCCACAAAAGGTGTATGATACATACATTGATGGAAATCATAGTTTTATCTTATTTGGGAATCATAGTTTTATTTTAGTAACTCTATATTCATTTATATGTTGACAAATTATTTCCCATACAAACCCACACACTATCCTGCTGTAGCTATGTATCCTGATTTTCATTCAACAGTACTTCAAGACACATGTAGTATTAAGTCCATTTATTACCCATATGGGCTCAAATATGCTGTGTAATAACTTTTTGATATTTGCACAGTGTGCAATTAGTGATTCTCGAAGCTGATTGGTCAGTGGAACAAAGATCAATTTTCATTGGACAACGGAACTATTTTTTTCTCATCCCATTCATTCACAAATCCACGCCTTTCCCTTCAGATGTTTTACGTGCTACAATCTCACTGATTCGAGATTTTTAAGACAAGACACATAGTTTCATATTAACAACATGATTTCACATTATCATTTTTTCATTTATTTCACATGATTTTCATTTTACAGTAAAAACCAAAACCACGTCCCCGTTTGTAAACAAACATGGCTGGCCATTTGAGACCTGTCAAAGTAAATGACCTCGTTAAAGCGGACGGAGATCTGACTGACATGAAAAGTTATTCGTATAATTCAACCTCTGAACACATTTATTGTCTTTGTTGTCAAAACTGCATATGGCCAGATTGAAGTTCCAAGATTCAGATTGTGATGTTGCCAGAAACTGTTTCTAGGGCGCCAAGATCATCACCACCAAGTCCTGGTTTGCGTCTGTGTTAGAGAGCTTGCTGTTTCATGAATTTTTCGACCACCCGGATCCAAAAACCGGACTTTGTATAGACAGGTTTGCCTTTGTGAACGATGATGACATCGATAACTGCCAATGAAAATGAAAACACAATGAAAAAGTTGACAAGTTGACATGAACTTAGTTCACAAATGTATACAGGTAAGAAAACCACGAAAAATATGACTATACTCACACTTTCAACGATGGCATCAGAATAAAAACAAATTCATTTTGCAACGACATTTAGACTTTCCGAAAGACATAATAAAGATGAAATTTCGTACAATTTTGAAACGTTGTGTGAAGAAATAAGGACGTGACACTTGTTTATACAATGTATACGTTTTCTTAACCGCGACGTCTGCAAAATAGATTCTACGGCGCTGAGCGGTATGCGGGCTGACTGACGCCCGCTGACCATATGACTATGAGGGTTAATGACACAGTAAAGGTGCAACTAAACATTATTATTTGCAAATTTATCATTTCGACATGCACATCAGACAGTTCAGAATTCGAACTGTCTACTTTGAAGGAGATCAAGGGTAGCATAGAGTGTTACCTCAGCGACATGATTACCAGCATCTGGTTGCGAAATCGATGCAGTTTGCTGAACTCGGAGGTTTTGAAATCAAAACAAAAAATATTAAAAATACAAGGAAAAGAAAACTTACCCCAGCGAGCTGATCCTGTGTCCGATATTGAACTAAATGAACTCCGTGAATGCGGACAGCTTAGCACCATGTCTCTAGATACCGTGTTTGTCTATCAACAGGTATTCGACCATTATGAATCACATCAAAATATCAACAAACTCCAGTCATCTGACTGTGTCCACTCCGCGTTTGACAAATCCTCCTGAAATCCCACATGCACATGTTTCCCATCAGTGACATTTGTGTCAAATCACACACGATGTTCATTAAACTTGTTGTCCGGATTAAACTGTAACCGGTTCTCTTGTCATTCCTGGTTTCGGCTGTCTCATATCTGGGTCAAGTCGGGTCATTCATTCCGACACTGAGACAGCAATCGTACTTTTCAAAGTTTACCTTCTTTTCGTAACTTTTCTCTAACAAACAAGACTTCTGTACATTCCGTCTATGTTGTTGTTATAGGTTTTGGCATTTTTGTCAAATGACATAAAAAAATTGACAGGTTTTCCGTGTTTCCTCATCTCAATGTGAAATGCATGTATCTGCCGATGCACGACTGACGGGGGCTGTCTGTCAGTGACGAGATCTTGTCAAAACAAGCTTTGATTAAAAAACCTGATGAACCTTTTTGGAAACCTGTCTTCTTTATCAATGCTAGATAGTGTACGCTGTGTTAATCGGACAGAAATATAACTGCAATAATTTGATCTTTTAATTACAATTTTTAACAGAACTATATTTTTCACGCGTAACAACATGTTAATTGAGAAATGCGGTTGGAATGAGTGGACGGTATTTTTTCACACGCGGATTGATACAAAACAGCTGATTCTTGATCGGCGACAGTTGATTGTTTTTTTCTTGAAACATGTCTTTAATATGAATATGGGTAATAAATAGAATAACCCACTCGGTACGAGCGATTACGGAAAATATGTCATGAGTGAAATTAATGTTTTAAGTTCCGAGCTCGTGGGTTATTCTATAATTATCATATAGCAAATATGAATTTAGAAAGTTTATCATCAAATCTTCTGATGGTGACATAAATGCAAATTTAACCCCATAATCATTCCATGTAGATAAATGGATTTATTTATGTTATTTGTTTTTGCATATAACAGGTTATACTTACATATGTTACAGTCAGTGTCCATTATAAGGCAATATGTATATTGACTGATTCACTCAGGCAAGGTATATTTTTTCTTATACTTTCACTCATTATACATATTGCCTGAAAAATAGGAATGGATTTTAGATGGACTGACTGAAATGAATTAGACTGCATACTTGAATTTCCTTATTTTAATTTGGATCTATTTTGATCTTATGAAGGTCAAAGTAACTTATGTAAGAAATTAAAAATGCTTTCACAATGAATTGATTGATTCTGCAAACATGAAAGAATACCAGAGTCCCTTTTTTATGTTACTTATTTTTATTGACATAAAATTTAAGTTCATAAACAGATAATGACTGCTAAAAAGTCACGTGTAATCTAATACTTGTACTTATGCACAAGTATGCCAAGATATCAAATAAAATAATAACAGATATCTGTTGGTGTGAAAAGAAAAAAGACTTACATTAATAAAAAAATTGTGGGAATTTGAAACACCAGATTAGAATAAGGAAACATAAAAAGAAGGGCCGAATGAAATTTAGAATGAGCTTTATCTTACAATCATCTGATAATGTCATTGCAAAGTTGGTGTAGATGATTTAATTTATCAAAATTGTAGTTGGTATAAGTACTCTTGATTATGTATTTTAAACCAATTTAAACCTATTGGGTCCTCTGTGTCAGAAAGAAATATAATTTTCTACTTTGTAAAATTTTAAAAAGGCCAAAATGATATATATCTTTCATTTATCATATTGAAATATAATCATTGTAGTATTTGGCAACTATTTTCAGGTGAACAAAATTAATATATCGACATTAAATCGTAGTCACTGCTTCATTTTAATAATAGAGACATCCATAAATTATGTAGTAGTATTTATCCGATAACATTACGTTTTATAACAAAAGTATTAAGTATACTTGGCGTGATAACTTTGGTGATCGGTTAAGAGAAAATGTTTCATGTGATGAAAGTAAGCAATTGTTTGATGATTGTATTACGTTAGCATTAACAGACATAAATGCAGCAGTTAGTAAATTTACGGAAGCTTTGTTGAAGGCAGCAGATTTTACAAAGCGTATGATTGTTCAGCGTCATGGACGCGACAAGCCGTGGTTTGATAAAGAATGTGGTTATCACAGAAGAGAAGCCTTCCGACTACTAGATGTTTTTAATAGGAAAAAGGATAATGTTTCGTTACAAGCCT